CACACACACACACACACACACACACACACACACACACACACACACACGAGCCCCCCCACCCTCTCAGCAGCGGTCCAGATAACAACCCTGAGTCAACACTGCCGCTCTGCTTTTGTTTTCTCTGCCGCCCCTCCTCTCTTCCCCTCCCACGTTCCAATCCCTGTGGAACCGCGAGGACCCGGGCTGAAAGGATGTCGGGATGAGGGACAGTGAGATAGAGAAAGAGAACGACAGAGAGGCTAAATTACAGCATGGGAATGCAAATGAGTGCATTTTATTTTTGGGGGGGAGCAGGCTTTATTTTCCAGGTAGGAACGGCCCCCATGTGGCCCCTGGATCAGTTGCAGCAACAGCAAAGGAAGAAAAACGAACACTCTCACTCTGCCTTTTTACTTGGGGAGGATTAAAAAAAGAAATATCACAAATACAAAAACCCACAACTCTCAGCGGCTGGTGCAGTCATAAAATAAAATTATATTTTGCTACGCTTTCACGCCACCGCCACCACCGCCTCCTCTTATCCCTCCTTCATTCACTCCCTCCGGCCCCTCCCCCCCCCGCAGACACACACTAAAGTTGCTGAAATATGGGCACAAACCGACACCACCACCCCCTCCTCCCCCCCATCTGGAAAAACACAGTGAGAAAGTGAACGTGCGCCAAGCAGGGAAAGGGAACGAGGACGGAGGAAACGGGGGTGAGCCAGCTGCAGGCTGTCTCCAGATGTGGTGGCTCTGGGGACGGGCCACTCTGGCGCTGTTAAGGGGGCGACTCAGGGCTCCCCTCCTCCCCCCTTTTTCCTTCCATCGCTCCTCCCATCTCTCTCGGTGACAGGAGCCATCTGGCCTGGCAGAGAGAGAGAGAGAGAAAGAGAGAGAGAGTGGAGACGCAGCAGCGAGTCCCGCCCTCCCAAGTGTGGCCCCTGCGTGCCATTCAGTAGAGTGCACAAGTAAATAAAAATGCATGCGCACACATACACACAACAACGCCCGCTCCCCCCCCATGCCGAAAGCTGTCACATGGCCATTAACCCATCGAAGCTACGGCCCAGCTGTGCTCCATTACGATAAATACGCCGGGGTCGCGGGGTCTCGTCAGCCAGGAGTCAGCCCTCAGATACCACGAGGTGTCCACTTACAGCCTTTTAAAGCTCACTTTGCTAAAGAGTTACAGCCATTTTCATCATCATAGCCCCTCTACGCCCTCTGGAAAAGAAACTCCCACCCGCCTCATCCACCTCGCTCCACCAGATGATATTCCACACTCTCTGGCAGACCAAACCCCTCTTCCCACCATATCCCCCCCCCCCCCCCC